AAAAAGTATTTTCCTTATTAAGTGTTTCATTCTGTATCTTCTGGTGAAGATTAGAATTCTAAAATAGGACCAATAGAATTCATTTAACGGAATGAGCAATCAGCAATTGTTAAAGTCTTCCAAATGATTTTTATCTTGAAAATACAAGAGACGGTAAATAGTGGCATCATTTAAGTTTATGTTGCATTAGGACTATCTATCCAGTAAATGGTGTAATGGAATGAATGGGAAGCATGTTTCAGATAATAAACATAAAAGACAACGAAATTACTGTGACTTTATACGAATAAAATAGCAAAAGATGTGAACAAAATACATAAGAGATGAGCAAAATCCTAGAAGGCGAAGGACTCACCTCCATCCCAAGGTGTATCATCAGGACTGCATATGCACACCAGAAAAGAAACCACATAACAGGTTATGCAGCGATACTTAAGAAATCACAATACAAAGAATATATAAAAAATGTAGTCATATAAAACAATGAATTACGAAAAAACCAGTCTGACATTAATGAACATGGAATCTTCAAGCTCACCCAAATATAACAGCATTCCAAAGCATAATATTGTTGTCTTGAGGGGCACCGCTAATACCCGCAGGTGGATCCTGCTGCAACCTCTTGAAATCCCTCATAAGTCTCTTCCTAGACGGAGTCGACATCCTACTTATCCACATATCAGAACAATTAACCGCAGCAGCAAAAACAATCATAATTATTTAATTTAAAAAACAGCAATGGAGAAAAACAGCATAAAATCATTCTAACAACCTTTCATCAGCAATCTAAATAAGTTCGATTTGCAATCATGCCGCTCAGATACACAACAGAATAATTGATATTGACAGAAAAACCAAATCTAGACTGAATTTTCCCAGATGGAGGAAATTAAATGTTCTTTACAAACCAAAATTGGTGTTGCCCATTTCCAGAATATGGACAGCTAAAACAAACTAAATAAAACATTATCTAATAACCGTACAATTCAGCTGAATTTAGCATTTTATGACTTTTTTATAAATACCCAGAAGGGACAGAATATTTATCATCAACTAGATAAACCCGAAAAGAAAAGCAACAAGAATTACAGGGTTCGTCTGTAACAATCAAGGTTCAGGGAAACTCTTTCCCCTATCGAGATCTACTTTAAATCATTCTAATTGAGCAAAACATACGTGTTTTTATGCAGGTTTACAAGGATATTTAAGATACCTGTGAGGGGGCTGAAAGAGAAGGCCTGTAGGTTGAGGGTGTGGAGCTCGTGAATCGAAGGAATTTTTATATAGTGTTGGATTTTTGTATGTATAGTGTATGTATAGATTGGGTTGGCGTCTGTCACTTCATCTGCAGTCCCCACTGTTTTTTTGGCGATTCACTTGGATACATACATATCTGATTGAATGAGATATTATTGGCAGGGTAAATTACGTACATCATCCTCAACTATCCTACTGTTTCAACTTTGTCCCTAACCTTTTATTTTTTCACAATTTGAACCCGACCTTTAACTGATTAGTGCATTGGTTATTAATCACAACCTAAGAAGTCAAAATTTTATTATGAGTAAATTTGACCATTATTTTAGATAAATAAAAAATTGAATAAGTAATAAAAAGAAAAGAGGAAAATAATTGAAAAAATTCGAAAGATAATTTTCTTCTATTCAACCCCAACTTTCCCTACACCACCAACAATCAGGCCTAATACATCAGCAACGGGCAACCTCAATTTTCCTCGATACTTTTAAGTTTCTATTAGTTTTAAGATTTCTATATTTTTTTTCTTCTTCGTGGTAGCAATGTGTGGCTTCACTTTTTCTTCCATTATCTAGTATTTCATTCCTAATGTTTTGTTCTTTTCTTTGTTGCCTCTGGCTTGATGCATGTTTGTTGATTTCTATCAATCAAAGATGTTGTACATTGACCTAGTGGCACTCGTATAGTAAAGATCCTATGACTATCGTAAGTATTTATTGCCTAGAATTAGGAGTGATAAAGATGGCGCTGCGGCCATCACAACCACTATTTTCAATGCTTCAGTCCTAAATTCCTGTTGCATTCTAGATGGATTGTCCTCACTTAATTTTATGTAAGATAATCTTAGGGTTGGTTTTCTATATACCTTAAATGTGACTAAAATTCTACTAAATTTGTAAAGTGGACCTGTGGTTGCCTTGGGTTATAAGCTATTTATCACTTAAGGGGGGTCATGTGTTCAAATCTTGGGGATTTCTAACAATCCAACTTCTATGTTCGAGCCATTAATTTACAAACTGTGCATTTTGGGAGAACTTTAGTCCATCTTACTCCTCACGGATTTATGTTGTGTCCCCACGATTTAAATACACAACATTTCCTTAAGAAAGACTTGAAGTTGAATCTTGATATTATTTGAGTTTATAAAATCTTTTATGGGTTAGTGCATTAGCCGTTTACAGTTTACTTTAGTTGTTGGTTGTGAAGCTTGCCTATTGGTTGTATCCGTGCGCTAATGGAATGATATACTGGTTGTTTATTCTTGAGGAAAAATGAAACTTATGAATTCAGGATTTTGGAGATGATAAATATGTTTTCACTTATATAAAATATTTTTGACATGTTAAACTTGAAAGAGAATGCATCCAACCGGTGAAGTGTTGGCGATGTTGCGTATGCTCGAAATTGCATAACATCCATGAGTCATGTACAATTGAAGAAGGGGGAAAAAGAAAAGAAAAACAAGGATTTTGGGGACTTTTGAAAGGTTTCAAAATTTGGGGCCAATTTGTGACATGGATTATCTTCACAAAATTTAGGATGAGATGTATGTTAGATGAAGGAGAATAATATTATAGCACGTTTGGCAAGAAATTAAAATCAGTTTTTTAGTGAATTTTAATAAAAAAAATTAAATATGTGGTTGAAAAATTTTGAATTCAATAAAATATATGGTGAAAATTAATTGTTCATTTTGACTAAAATTATTATATATTTTAAATAACTAAATGGTAAAAAATCAGCAAATATCAAGAAATGTCTAAAAGAGATTGTTCAGTTTCCAAATTTAGTTAGGCATAATTTTATATTTTATTCTTTTCTTAATAAAAAATACTCATTCGGGGAGTGGACTGTGGAGTGGCTGAAAAATAAAAAAGCAATTATAAATTTATAATTTAAGAAGTAATATCTAGAGATGGTAAAAAAAATCGCCCCGCCTCGACCCAACAGTGCGCCGCCCCGAGCGGGTTGACGGGGCTGGGCGGGGTGAGGAGGGGCGCCCCCGTCTCGAGTCTCGGGGCGCTGCACCCGCCCCGTGAACTATTAAAAAAGAAGTATCCATATATTTTTAGCTAGAATACATGATGAACAAATATTTTTTGGA